TTTTTTTAACATACATTTTTATGAGACCCCAACCGCTCACCCCACTCTGCGACAGCACACTCCTCCCCTCCGCCCCTGATTCCCCATGAACACTCAACCAGCTCCTAACTCTCTCTGCCTTCCCTCTCACCTCTGGACAGAAGCCGCCCCTTTAGTCTCTTATATCTATTTGTCTAAGAGGCACATTCTTCACGAGTATCACTTTATGTCCCACAGTCCAGTCCAATCCCTGTCTGAAGAGCTGGCCTCAGAAACTGTTTTAGTTCTGGGGTGATGGAGAGACCAGGGGCCATGCTTTCTGGGGTGCCTCCAGCAAAGACACAGAGTCTTAAGAGAACCCAGGGAACGGCTGTGCAGGAGAGGGTGATGCTGAGAAAGCAGAGACAGGCAGGGCCCAGGGGAGGCTGATTCCCAAGGTTCTGACTTGGGTGATGGTGGGAAAGAGCACAGCCATTCCCAGGACAGGGCTTATAAGGTAGAACGTCAGCAGGATCTGAGGGGACATGCTGAGTCTGGTATGCCTGAGGAACAGCTAGGTGAAAAAACTAGCAAAACAAGCATCATCTAAATAAGTAAGATTATAACACTTTACTTGAAGCCATTAAAGATCTATAAAAATGGAGAACTTAATAATATAAAGCTGACAATTCTAGCCATATCAATACATGAATTCAGTACAACTTCATAAAAAATCCCAACTAAGTTTATCATGGAACTTTATAAGCTGATTCTAGAATTCATACGAAAGAGCATATGGCCAATAATATCCCTGAGGAAGAGTAAGGAGGGGGATCTACCCTATCAGGTAACAGCATTATTATGAAGTAATAAATCATCAAGGCAGTGTGGTACTGGCACAGAGCTAAGACAAACTGGCAATGAAAAAGAAGAGTGAGCTCAGTAACCAGCTCACACATACATGGAGCTCTGATACGCAGCAGAGCAGCTCAGTGGTGAAAGGAGAGACTATTTAGTAAACAGAGCTACAAAATTTGGTTACTCACATGGGGAATACATAAAATTGCATTCCTACTACACATCATACTCAAACCAACTCAGATCAATAAACTCTTGAATGTCAAACACCAAATTTTAGTATAAACTAAATGAGACTATCTTTTCGATACTGGGGTAAAGCAAGATTACTTAATAAGTAATAAAACCATTAATCATAAAAGATTTATAAATCAGACTACACTAAAATAAGCAACTATTCAAAATATACATTAAAGATAATGAAAAAATAAGGTTAAAAACTAAAAGAAGATATCTGTAGCAAATATAATTGATAAAAAATTACTATCAAGAATGTACAAATAATCACTACAAATCAAAAAGAGAAGGGCAAACAACTTAATAGAAAAATAATCATAAACGAATATTTCACAGAAAATATAGATTGGTGACAAGACATGATGAAGTGCCCAAATTCCCAAACATGAAACACAAATCGAGATCACATATAAAACAAACCAACCAACCCCTTGCCGTCGAGTCAATTCTGACTCACGGCCACCCTACAGGACAGAGTAGAACTGCCCCATAGGGAATCCCTAAGGAGCACCTGGTGGATTTGAACTGCTGACCTTTTGGTTAGCAGCTGTAGCTCTTAACCACTACGCCACTAGAGTTTCCCAAGATCAAATAAGACAGGATACAATTTTCTACTGATTTGACTGGCAAAAACTGAGGATCTTTATAGTATCATGTACCGGATGGGACGTGGATCAATGAAACCGCTTGCATTTTCCTTGTGAAGTTTAAATTTGTATAATCTCTTTAGAAAACAATGGGAATTATCTTGTAAAACTGAACATTCACATAGCCTGTAAACCAGTAATTCCACTCCTAGAAATGTCACTCTTACGGATTGAATTGTGTCCCCCCAAAATATGCGTTTAAATCCTAACCCCTATACCTATGGATATAACTCCACTGGGAATAGTTTTCTTTGTTATGTTAATTAGGTTCTATCATTGTAAGGTGTGTCTTAAACCAATTACTTTAGAGATATAAAAGGAACAGCTCAGGCACAGAAACAAGGACAAATGGGGAAGACAGATGCTACATGAAGATCACCAAAAACCGGGAACCAGAGGCTGAAGGAGACAAAGATCTTCCCCAAGAGCTGACATAGAGAGCCTCCCCCTACAGCCATGCCCTACATCAGACTTCTATCCTCCTAAACTGTGACAAAATCAATTTGTTTGTTAAAGCCAGCCACTCGTGGTATTTGTTATTGCAGCACTAGCTCACTAAGACCATTACCAAAATGCACCCTGCATATGGGCAAGAGTACTCATGTATATAATGTTCACAGCACCACCATGTGTGAGAATGAAAAAAATGTAAACAATTCAATGCCCCAGGGAGTGGATGGATACACTTTGGTAGAGCCATGCAACAGAATACCGGACAGCAGAAAACCAATGAATGAACAACATAATGCCTCAAAACAGAAAACAACACAAATGTCCATCAGGAGGAAAACACAAAAATGAATGGCAGTTTTTCACACTATGAGATACTACACAGTACAAAAAAGAACCAAATGCAACTAAGTGCAACCACGTAGAAAAAACTCCCACAGACGTGATGATGATCAAAAGAGGACAGGCACAACAGAATGCGTATAAAAACCCACTGCTGTTGAGTTGATTCCGACTCATAGCGATCCTATTGGACAGAGTAGAACTGCCCCGTAGGGTTTTCTAGGCTGTAATCTTTAGGGAAGCAGATCACCAGGTCTTTCCCCCGTACAGCAGCTGGTGGGTTTGAATTGCTGATTTTTCGGTTAGCAGTCAAGCACTTAACCACTGTGCCACCAGGGTTCCTTTCATAAAGCTTACAGTGGGGTTCAATTTATATCCATTCAGAGCTGAAACTAATGTGCTATTAAAAATCTAAATATAAATTACCTTTGTAGAAGGGGATACTGACTACAAGGGGGCACAAGGAGCCTGCTGAGGTGGTAGACCTATTCTATATACTGACAGATTCTCTTTACTCATTTGGGTTTATACATATGAAAATATTCGTCAAGCTGACCTCTTCATATTGTACGTATCACTGCATATGTACACATCACTTCGGTCAAAAAGTGAAAGAAAATCAGAGTCAAGGGGAGGCAGGAAACCTAAGGATAGGCATCTCTTCCAAGAATGAGAACACTCCTCCAAGAAGCTCAGGTGCCCAGGGAAAGTACAGTCAAGGTCAGTTTGAGGCCAGTATACAGCCATGTGAATTTTTTGTTTTATTTTCTCCAAGTGAAATGAACTTCAGCGTGTTTTCATGTTGAGTAGAGAAAGGATGAGGTTACAGAAGAGGCACACTGTAAGTGAAGAAGGAAACTCCCCAGAAAGGTGTCATGTAGACTCTGGTGCCAGCACTGGCCATGGCCAGAGGAAGACCTCCTCTAGGGAGGTAAGAAGGGAAGCTGCAGATATGAGAGTTTCAGATCAGTGTGTAAGGGTTGAGGCTGTTATGGATTCAACTGTGTCACCGAAAAATATGTGTGGTAAATCCTAACCTCTATACCTGTGGTTATAATCCCATTTGGGAATGGATTTTCTTTGTTATGCTAAATGAGGCCATATTAGTGTAGAGTGTGTCTTGTGTCATTCTCTTTTGCGATATAAAAAGAGCAAGCAAGCTGAGATGGGGGGAAGAAAGATGCTATACCACATGAAGATCACCAAGAAACCAAGGAATAGAAGCTGAAAAGACACAAGAGACTTCCCCTAGAGCCGGCACCCTGAATTCAGACGTCTAGCCTCCTGAACTGTGAGAAAATGAATTTCTGTTTGTCAAAGCCACCCACTTGGGGTATTTCTGTTTTAGCAGCATGAGATAACTAAGACAAGTGTCAAGCAATATGACGAAGTAGGCTTTACTTTTCATATGTAAACATGCTGACACATCAGCAGTCATACGCTGAGACGTAATTGGCTGGGGAAGTGGTGATTACTGGAACAAGATGTGAGTGGCTTGGGGGAGTTGGTGCTGGACATGGCATTGACCAGAGGCTCAGAGCAGATATGGAGGGATTAGTTAGGAGTCTACGACCATCATCCAGGAAAAATATGATGACAGCTTTGGCTAAGTGTGAGGACAGATAGGATGGAGGTAAAGATTCAGGAGGTGTGTATAATGCAAAATGCTAGATGTAGGGATTGATGGAGATGGAGGTGTTAAGGAGTTGTCTGAGACTGTAACCAGTCTTCTAACCTGCTGAGATGGCAGGACCGTTCACTGAAACTTGGGAGGTGGGAAGAGTGGGCAGGATCATGGGTTCCTTGTTAGGCAGATTGAGAAACACGGAAATCATGTGACTTCCTTCAGATCGCAAAGCAAGTCAGAGGTGCCTTTGAGACAGTCATGTAGAGATGTGGGATGGAAGAAGGGGTGAAGGTTTGGAACAGACTCTGAAGGGCTGAACGGGCTGGAATGAGATGCTCACTGGCTGGCTGAGCAACAGACAGAGGGCATGACTCCACAGTGGTGCCAATCAACAAGTGCCCTCAGTAGGCCACATGTGGGGCAGAGAAGGCCAAATGGCACCCTGAGGTTTTACCAAAGAGTAGAGCAGGAATACATGTGGAAAGGGACTCTTTCTGAGCATCTGACAATGAGAAAGATAGGTGGATGAAGAATTTGGGACAAGGTGGGATGCAAAGTATAGCTGGAAAGAGTAAGTGGGAGAGAAAGAAAGGCCCGTCTTCCTCAGAGTTCAGAAAGAAAGGTGAGATATTATCATTAATGATTGCAGCTAATAGCATGACGTAAATAATACTAATGGCTGACTTTTGATGAGCCACTTACTGTGGGTCTGGCACCGCATTAAGCAGTTTCACACACTATCTTGATTACATCCTCACACAACCCAATAACACAGAAACTATTACTACTATCATTTTTCAGGAATAGATGGAACATTAGTTGACTGAGTGGATACTGATGAAATCATTTGCTCTTCTCCTTGGGCACACAACTCGACCACCTGTACTCATGCGCCCAACTTTGATCAGATGCCCAGTTCTTGCAAGTGGACTATAAGTAGATCTGAGAAGTGCAGAGGAGGCTGTGATTCCTCTCTCCTTTGTCCTCTGCCAGCTACAGGATGTCATGGTGATGACACAGTACTCCTAAGTCCTTGAATACTATGTGCTACAGCACTCAGGTCCACATGGATCTTGGTATGTGTGAGAGAAATAGTTTTTGTCTGTTGAGCCACCAAGACTGGAGTTCATCTGTTACAATAGCTAGCTTGGGTCACAAGGCTGACGAGTGACAAATCTTAAAAATTTTTAAGCCCATGTAGTTAAGAGCCCAGAGCCTGATATTGGCTTACATGTGGCACTCCTCCTCAGAAGCAGTGAAGTGTGTGATGGGGGTGGGAGAGGGGAGGGAATACAAGTCAAAGGGCTCCATCACTCCCACGTCCCCAGAGAGATAATGACAAAAAGCTTCCTGAGGGGATCCAGGGTCAGTGGTCTCCTCACAGTTTGCAAGCTGCAGGGCCCCCCACCTGCACAGCTCTCAGTCACCCACCTGGAAAGATGCTTAGGGACAGGTCTTTCTTCACGGCCCATAGCTTCTGCCTGAGCTCCAGCTCGTAGATCAGCTCTGGTTTGGGCACAGGACACCCTGACAAGGAGAAGGGAGAGGACACAGGGATGTTTGTGAGAAGAAACAGAACTTCTCAGTCTAGTCTGGGACTTCAGGATGGGAACGAGACCTTGGAATGAGGCTGCTCCCATCGAAGCAAACAAAATGCTGACCTGTGACCTGGACACCCAAGATAAAAACACCATCCTTGGACCCCCAAACTGTGGACACTAGTGCTGGCTGACCTCCAGCCTACAGAATCCCAACACTATTCAGACACAGCCACAGAACCCAGGGAAATGACTCCCTCCTTCCAGGTGCTGTCTAATTAATCCAAGTCAGTGAGTCTCAATCTGCCTGTGCATCAGAATCCCCTGGGGCTGTCTGGGTCCCATTCACTGATCAACTGAAACTGAATCTCTGAGGGGGAGGCCTGTAAATTCATAGATTTTAAATCTCCTCAGATGATTCTGACACCCAGGGAAGATGAGATGCACTAGTGGTGTTCTCAATTTGCAAACTGCATCCTGATCATCAGTAGTGTGAGGTAGGCAGGTGACCTAACCGGCCACTCTGTGAAGTGCAAGCCTTAATTCCAGGAAGGCTGAATGAAGGGAACTGCTGCCGCTGTCATCCTGAAGCACCCTGCGACTACTTTCAGATAACCCACCTGAGGATCTGGACCAAGGAGAAGAAGCAAATAAACAGACAACTGGGTTGTCACCCACCAACCTGGGAGCCATCCCCGCCCCTGGGCTGCTCATTAGGTGAGATAATAAATTTCCTTCAGGGTGAAGCCCATTTGAGCTGTCTTCTGTTAGTTCCAGCCCAACATGTATATGGACAGATGTGGGGGTAAAGGACTTAAAGGCTCTGTAGATAAGTCAATGGCCAAAGCACCAGACCCATAGTAAGGCTTAATCAGCAGAGCCTGAACCACAGCCCAGTATTCAACCAGTCAACACTAAGCAAATGCTCACTGGTGTCTGCTGCAAGCCTGGCACCAAGCTCAGTAATCCGTCCGTCAGGAGTCATGTGCCTCGCCACCTCAGGGCCTTTGCACACACTGGTCCTTCTACCTAGAATGCTGTTCTCTCACCTACCTTGCTCTAACTCTTTGGGTCTTAGCCCAAATGTTACTTCCTGTGAAGACTTCTTTGAAATGTAGTCCTCATGTCCAGGTGCTTAATCAATTTGCCACACTGTCACAGAAGTTTCAGTCCTAATAAAAACCAAGCCCAGTGCTGTTGAGTCACAGCGACCCTACAGAACAGAGTAGAACTTCCCCATATAGTTTCCAGAGCTATAATCTTTTATGAAAGCAGACTGCCACATCTTTCTCCCACAGAGTGGCTAGTGGATTTGAACCACCAACCTTTTGGTTAACAGCCAAGTGCTTTAACCACTGTGCCACAGGGCTCCTTCTTTCAATCCTAATATTAAGTAAAAAACTAGAATCTAAGGGGTGTAACCAAATCCTCGGGATCGTGCCAAGCACTTTAAATGCATAACTTTAAAAAAAAATTGAATTAACTTTACATAGTAACTTAGAGAAGAACACATATATTTAAAATATTGACTCTTTTCATTCAGGAACATGGTATGTATCTTTACCGATCTAAGTCTATTTTTAGATCCTAAGCAGAGTTTTATACTGCTCTTCAAAATGGGGAATCTATTTTAGGATTTCCCCACAGCATTTCCAGGAAATATAGCCAATTTTGTAGGTAAAGAAACCAAGGCTCAGGCAGACAAAGTGATCTGCCAAAAGGCACAGAACTGGGGAATGGTTGAACCAAGACGAAAACCCAGGTCTAGCCATCTCTGGTATCTGTGTTACTTAACCACAAAGCGACACAACATTGTTCTAGAAGGTGCTGAGTCCAGAAGTAATGCTGATGATCATAACGACGATGACACTAACAGTGGTATAACAGTGGTAGGGGTCACAACTGCTAACCTGCACACAGCCAGGTATCACCAGGCATGGTTCTGAGCCCTTTTCAGAACTCACTTATGCTTGCAACAGCCCTATCAAGTAGATATGATACTATTCCATTTTACCAATGAGCAACCTGATGCACAGCGAAGTTCAGTAATTTGCCTAGGGCCACACAGCTTTTAAGGAGTGGAGCTGGGATTGAACACCAGGAGTCTCGCTCCAGGCCCTAGTCTCCTATGGGCTCCAGGAAGGAGGACACCTGTGTGGGGCCAGCAGCACTGGACCAAGTAGTTAGTGGTGGTGAAGTGAGGACATGAATGGGAGGATTCAATCCTCAGGGAATGGAGGCCAAAGGGAGAAGACTTGGTGATGCCCAGACTTGGGCATTTCATAAACCACTAAAAAAAATGTAAAAATGGTAATGCACAGTTGATATGGTCACATATAGACATTTATACAAACACTAAATATCATCTACTCTCATTCACAAGTCACACACAAAAAAGGACTTTTACCACAAAAAAATGGCAGAGGACAGCATTTCAAAATGAAGATGTGTCTCCTACATTGAAGGATTTGTGCTTTATAAGGGACTCACCACACTGGCCTTGTTTTCCAGACTTTACCAGGGTAGGAGATGCTGAGATAATTAAATGGGTAGAGCATGAACAGTGCCTGGAACAGACCTAGCACGGGGTCAATGAATAGGAGACCTTAGCTGTGAACACTAATAATTGCTTTTCTTAAAAGTGACCCACCTTTTATGGTTCTTGTTGTTGTATGCTAACGTGTCAATTCCAACTCAAAGTGACCCCATGTGACAGAGTAGAACTTCCCCACAGAGCTTCCTAGGCTGTCATCTTTACAGGAGCAGATCACCAGGTCTTTCTCTCACGGAGCCACTGGGTAGGTTTGAACCACCAATCTTTCAGTTAGCAGCTGAGCACTTACCTGTTATGCCACCAGGGTTCCTTTTTATGGTTCTTAGATTTCTTCAAGAATGGATCCTTGTATTGTTCTGGTAATGGCAAAAACAGAGCCACTTGCCTTGATGGAGGGTTACATGAAAAATTACAGTGCAACTGAAACAACGCTAGAAGGCCCCAGGGAACTCAGGCAGACCGTTCAGGACTGTGTCTGAGGCGGCTCCCTCTTTTGAAAAGACTCAGCACTAAACCTGGACATTCTCTCAACAATCAGGAAGTGGGAAAGAAAAGGAAAACAGGAATGACTTTCTCAGGGTGTCCCTCAATGCCAGTTAACAATTACTGTCATTGTCATCATCGTTATGATCACCATCATTACTCCTGGACTCAGCACCCTCTACAACAGGCTTTCTCAGCCTTGGCATGATTGACATTTTGGTCCAAACAATTCTTTGCTGTGTGTGTCCTGTGCATCTTAAGGATGCTTAGCAGCATTCTACGTGTCTCCACTAGATGCTAGTTGCACACCTATCTCAGCTGTGACCATCAAAAATATCTCCACACATTACCAAATATCCCCTGGCATGGGGGCAATATCACTCCACTGGCTTAGAACGATATAAACAGGGTAATGGCAGAAAGCAAGCATGACAGAGGGTGGCACTTACACGATACTTTATGAACAGAAAACAGCTGGGTGAGAGGTGGTAACGTACTGAGAAGGGGCTGGCCGTGTGAAATGCTGGAGAGCACGCACCAGGCAGTGAGAACAGTAAGTGCAAAGGCCCAAAACGGATGCACGTTTGGGGAAACTGCAGGAACCCAGGACAGCCAGGGCAGAGTGATATCGGGAGACATCAGTGTGAAAGGTGCTTAAGGAGGGTGGCAAAACAAGATGGAGGACTTTTCGTTTAAAAAACTTCATAAAATATGTAATGCTCTTTTCCAGCCTTGCTTTATCTCTTCTTATTGAAATAGGACATAATTCCAGTTTTCTAGAAGTAGGAATGTCTTACCCTAAGCTAAGTTTCAAGAACTTCCCTGGACATTTAACACTTCCCTGTCCCCAAATTGGATGGTCTAAGATGTCATTATCCCCAAGCAGAGAATCATCTAAGACAGGATTTACCAACTTCGGAACTCTTGACATCTGGGGCTGAGTGATTCTCTGTTGAGGGGGCTGTGCAGTGCAGCATCTCTGGCTTTTTCTCACTAGGTGCCACTAGCATCCCCAGCCCCAGGTGTGATGATAAAAAAAATCCATCCAGAATGGAACTGGAACAACCAGAATGGAAATAATGAGAATGTTCATGCACTGGGAAGAATGTAACCAATGTCACTGAACAACTTGTGTAGAAGTTGTTGTATGGGAACCTAAACTGCTGTGTAAACCTTCACCAAAAACACAATAAAATAATACTTAAAAAAAAAAACTCATCCAGACATTGCCAAATGTCTGCTGAGGGGCAAAACTGCCAACTGCTAAAATGCATTGCTCTAAACTTATTTCTTGTACCAGTGGAGGATCATGGCCCAGGCTTTAGGAAACCAGAAACGATCCTAAGGCCTCAGGGAATAAAGGTGCCTCATAACTGAGATCATGCTGTTTAGTACAACACTGGGTGGTACTGAAGGCAAACACCTCCTGAGGGCCTTGCCTGACTCACCCCTGTCTGGGAGAACATCTATCACCCACAGCCCTGCTAATTGGGCTGTGGGAACATTTAACTCAGCCGAGCTTGGCCAGTCAGACCAAGGCCAGCCCATGCTGGACACCAGGATGAGAAATGAGGGAAATGTGGACTCAGGTGGCCATTTCCTGTGTCAAAGATGCCTCACAGAAGCCAGCTGCACAGAGAGAGAGAGAAGCAACACAAATGTGCAGATAAGTAGTGACGAGGAACCTGGGGGCCCAGGACAGCAAGGACTGGAGTGGTTACTTCATGCTGCAAACTCACTGGGGCAGAAAAGGCCATTGTGCAAACAGAGTGACAGGAGCACGCCTGCAGAGAGAAGCCAGGACAAGGGACTCGGAAACCAGGGCATGATCGTGGTTCTTCTGAATTCCTGACAGCAGTCCGTCCTGGGGCCCCGCTGGAGTGCCTGCCTCTGGGTTCCACGAGACAGTCTATTTCCTTCCAACACATCCCTGCTCTTTGGAGGTTAGCCAAAGGGGAACTATGTTTCTTGCCCAAAGAGACATAGAGAGACCAGACGAGAAAAGATGAGTCCGGAAAATGACTGAAGCTGTGGGAAGAAGAGAGGGTGGGCTCCAGAGGCCATCCTGATGAGCCAAGTCTGGAGTGAAAGGGTGGGATGAAAGAGTCTGCAGGTCCCTCATACAGTTGAGAGATGAGGTCTTACCCAGAGAGATCAGCAGGCCACAGTTCTCCAGCATCACCTCCTGGTACAGGCTCCTCTGGGTCAGGTCCAGCTGCCCCCACTCCTCCTGGGTGAAGGTCACGGCCACATCCTCAAATGTCACAGACACCTGAAGAGTCAAACAGAGGCAGTGGTGTTTGCCTTGGGAAGATGTGGGATGGGATTAGAGCCTGTGTCTGCATCAATGATAAAGATGCAGAGAGACTCAAGGCCCAGATCACCAAGTAACTCCTGGGGGCCTAGCTCAGTGCTGGGCTTAATGGGGAGGAGGGCACGACTTTGGATAGACTCAAATAGTCCAAAAAAGAGGAGGCTCCATGCGGAACCACTGAAGAATGACAGAAGACAATGACAATCCCATGTAAACTGTGAGATACAGATAGTAAGGGCTCTGAGATGTCAGAGGGAAAGGATAATAACCAGCAGCTGCGTCTCACTGGATCTCACCTCACTGTGTAACTTCCCTGTGCTGAAGGCTCAATATGCCATGCTAAAGCAACTAAGTCCCCAGCTCTGAAGCCAGATTCCTGTGATTTGACTCCAAACTCTTGAATCCGACACTTACCTGCTGTGTGACCTTGGGGTGCTCGCTTCATTTCACTGAGCCTCGACTTCTGGATCAATAAGAGCTCCCATTTCACCCACAACAGCTGTGAGATTTAGAGACAACGTCCAGTGCTCAGCATGCTTTGGGATTAATCCCCCCACAGCAGTGAGGTGAACACCATCATCCTCCCCACATCATAGTCTTCGACCTGAGGCCAAGAGGGCTCTATCAATCTACTCAGAGTCACACGTCTTATGACCATGGGCAGGACCTGAATGCAGGTCCCTCTGCTCCAGGGTCCAGTGGAGTAATCATGACACCCCTCCTCCACCAAAGTGAATCCACGGGAACGAGGTTGGGAAGCATTTCCAATAATTTCTGCTGTTAAATCCATTACAGCCACTGCCAAAAACATTTCTGTGAATGTGGGCAGAGGAGCAGAGCCATCATCACTGAACTCACAGGACAGGCCCTGTGGGTGGTACCTGCCTGGGGAGTGGCAGGGGCTGGGCAGCTCCCTGCATCCCTGGTTCCCCTGGTCCTGGAAGACTCCCTGGGAGATTCACGGTGAATCACCAGCCTATTTATCCTTCCTGAGTTCTCACAGCAGGCCACGATACTTCAGGACCAGGGAACATGAGTGGCAGGGACAACGCAGGCTATTGTCATGAGAACATGGGCCTTTGACTAGCCACACTGTCTGCACTTACTGAGAGTGGGATAACATCCAGCAAAGGACCACACCCTCTCACCCTCCCAGGACCTAATCTCAGCAGGTATGTGTGTGGGGTGGGGGTGGAAGAGACCATAGCAACCACACAAGGCCCTCTTGGGCCCCCTGAAACAACCAATACTTCTCCTGTGTCTACATACATCCCCCTGCCTGAAATGACCTGCATCCCCTCCCCAGTATGCCCAAAGTCATCTGCTGGAAGGACCACCTGCCTTGCAAAATTCACTTCAGGTGTCACCCACAGGACTTCCCCATCCACTGTGTAGAGGAGTGGGTAAAAGCACAGGCTCTGGTGGTCAACATACTGGGTACGACTTTTTAAGAGCTGTGTGCCCTGGGCAGGTAACTTAACCTCTCTGAGCTCTGACAGCCTCTTGTATAAAACAAGTGGTAATACTACCACTCAACTCTGATGAGTTGAGGGTTAAACCATGACTGACCAACATCCTATATCAAAGACTCAACAGCAGCTGGCAATCATGGATCTTTTGTTATGATTGTTCATTTTCCTCTTGGCTCCCACATCCTAGAAAACCTCAACGCAGGAGGCTTTTGTAATTTTGCCAGATTCCCTACACAAAAAATGCCAGACCACAGACAAGTAGGGCAGGATCTACTTTAGCCTGAATTGCCAGGAAAAGCCACTCCAAATAGGTGACATGTGAACAGAGGCCAGAAGGATGTGAATAGGGGAGCTCTGTAGAGATCTAGAGACAGTGTCCCAGGCAGTGGGAACTGCAAGGACAAAGGCTGAAATGGAAGAGAACCTACCATGGTCAAGTTGGTGTGTCTGGAGAGCAGTGAGCAAGAGAAAATGAAAGGAGGCAAGGTTGGAGGTTGTTGGTCAGGGTGGATTGGGCAGGGACTTGCAGGTCAAGGTTGGGGGTTGGATTTATTTTAAGATGGGAACCCCAGAGGGAGCATCATTGATTCTTCAACAACTTATAGAGCAGCTGTCAGTGTCCCGACACTGTTCTGTTGTTGTCATTGCTGGGTGCCAAGGAGTCGATTCCAACTCATAGTGACCCAATGTGACAAAGCAGAACTGCCCCATACAGTTTTCTAGGCTGCAATCTTTAGGAGAGCAGATCGCCAGGTCTTTCTCCCGTGGAGCCCCTGGTGGGTTTGAACACCAGATCTTTCGGTTAGCAGCCAAGTGTCTATCCGTTGCGCCACCAAGACTCCAAAGGGGAAGGTGGGAGGTTAGGTTTACTCTAAGTACGATGAGAACCCCTGGAGAAAGCCTCATTCATTCCTCATCAACTTACTGAGTAGCTGTCAAGAGTCTTGACACTGCTGTAAGACGGGGATAAAGTGACAAGCCAAATTACTGCAAAGAGAAGCCCAGTAACTTTCTCGGCTTCCAGCCCGTACAGCAGCCCAGCCCTCTCCCCTCAGAGAGAAGCAGCAATTCCGAAATCATCCTCCGCTCACCTGGGCCGGGTCCATCACCGCCGCCGCCATCGTGGGACCCCGTGAGGAGAGCAGGGCCTGAACAAGGGGGCGGCCGGGCCGGGACCCTACGATCCCACCCTGCACTGCGTTTGCTGGGGGTAGCTCGGCTGACTGTTGCCCTCTGGGCCTCAGTCTCCCCGAGTGAAAGGCGCACCAGGCCCAGGGCGCCGCCCTTGGCAACTGCGAAGGTGAAGGGCGGTGCGGAGTCCCGGAGAGCCTGCTGCCTGGGCGGGCGCAGAGGGGCAACGTTACAGTGGTTCACGACTCGAACATACGGGCTCAGTCTGGATGAGAGGACTGGGGAGCAGCACTCGCTTAGCCTCAAGACCTCAAGGCCAGCAGGGACCAAATCGCCACAGGCAAATGGCGTACCCTACGAAAGAGCAGGAAATCCCGCCCCCACCGACGTGTCCGCAGGAATCGCCCCTCTCCTTGGCCATCATTGGCCCAGCACCGCCGCCCACACACGACGCACAGCCTTCTAGGTAATGTAGTTTCCAGCTCCATCCATTCAGACGAGGAGCGCCTTTCGAGCACGGATTCCAATCAGTTCTCGGTTTGACCCTCACTCTGAGAATTTGCCTTTCCACTCCAAATATACTGAATCAGAATCTACATTTTAACAAGACCCCAGGTGATTCTTGTATATTTATGTATAAAAAAACCCAAACCTGTTGCCACTGAGTTGATTCTGACTAATAACATACTTCCGTGTGTAAGATACTTATGTATACTCAAGTATATGATACTTATGTATATTTATGTACACATATACTTATGTATTCTTATGTGTACATAAGAATCACCTGGGTATCTTATTAAAATGTAGATTTTCATTCAGTATGTCTGGGGTGGGGACGCAAATGCTCAGCAGGGGTCTGTACCAAAACAAACCCGTTCAAAGCCCTGCTTTCCAGCAAGACTTCTACAGTGTAAAACGGGCACAAGGCCCAGAGCGCTGTGTCAGATCTGCCTCATTTTCAAGGGTACGGAATGGTGGATGGGAGGCCATCCATTCTTCCACCTGGGAAACCGAGGATCGGGAGGCGGCGATGGACCCCATGTGACAGAGCAGAACTGCCCCATAGGGTTTCCTAAGCTGTAATCTTTATAGAAGCAGATCGCCAGGTCTCTTTCCCGTGGAGCCGCTGGGTGAGTTTGGTTAGCAGCCGAGTGCTTAACCAGTGCACCAACAGGGCTCCTTATACATTCATTACCACTCCAGATAAAAAAAAAACAGGATTTTTTCATGAAACTTACTGGAGGGATGGACAAAAGAAAATTATTGGAGGGACTGACAAAAGAGCAGCCCACCCCCACACCCCGCCAAAAAAAAAAACAAGGTCAGGAGGAGGATGCTGGGAGTCCTGCCAGACATTATCCACATTTATGGACAGCCCTCTCCTGGGCCACCTTTGGCCCAGTAATGTTCCGCATGGTGCACAGACATCTGGGTAATACAGTTGGCTCCAGCAGCCGGTGCCATCCTCTGAGATGGGGAGGCTAGAAGTGGAGGAGGCTTGGAAAGGAAGCTCAGAATTCCAATCTGGAACTTTTTTTGTTGTTAGTTTCCCTGCCCTAACTCATGGAGACCTCATGGCACAACAGAAGTAAACACTGCCTGGTCCTGGGCCATCCTCGTGATGGGTTACAGATCACACTGCTGTGATCCATATGGTTTTCATTGCCTGATTTTTGGAAGTAGATCAAAAGGCCTTTCTTCCTAGATGTTGGGGACGGAAAACAAACTTGGTCTCTCAGACCCATGGAAATAAATGAAGAAGACTCAACTAAGTTGTTAGTTGCTGTGGAGCCGATTTCAACTCATGGCGATCCCATGTGTGCAGAGTAAAACTGCTCCACAGGGTTTTCAAGGCTGTGACCTTTAGGAAGACACCAGGCCTGTCTTCCGAGGCACATTTGGATGGGTTCCAACTACCAACTTTTATGGTTAGTATTCAAGCGCTTAACCACTTGCGCCACCCAGGCACCTAAATGAGAAGTGTTGGTGCCAGTGAGTCGATTCTGACTCATAGCAACCCTGCAGGGCAGAGTAAAACTGCCCCATAGGGTTTCCTAGGCTAGGTCTTTTCTCCCGAAGAGTAGCTGGTGGGTTTGAACCGCCAACTTTTCAGTTAGCAGCTGAACAATTAACCATTGTGCCACCAGGGCTCCTAAATGAGAAGCAAGCACTATTTATTCAGAGCTTGCTATAGCAAGGAAGTCAGCCACCATCACCTGAGTTTGGCAGGGACTCAAAGGCAAGGAAGGGAGTTTTGGAAAGCTTTAGAGTAGAAGAAAGGGAAGGCTTCAGATATGCCCTGACTGGAGGCTGTTGGCATGGGGGAGCTGCAGGTGAGCTAACTAGAAGCAGGACATCCTATGTGACTAGTTTTAAAAAAACATTTCCATCCAGTTGATTCTGACTCATGGCAACTGCATGTGTGCAGTGTAGAACTGTGTGCTTCATAAGGTTTTCATGGCTGTGACCTTTAGGAAGCAGCTCACCAGGGCTTTCCTCTGAGGTACCTCTGGGTGGGTTTGAACTGCCAACCTTTAGGTTAGCAGCTGAGCATTTAACAGTTTGTGATGCCCAGAAATTGGTTACAGCAGCATATTTGGCTTTCACTGTTTGGTAATAAGTTGTAAGTGGGGGCAACAATTAGGGAAGCTGGCAGCTATTGACTAAGTCCTGACCATTTTGAGCCAATTGCAGAGGTTCTGGTTTGGCCTCTTGGTCTGGTTGCTGCAGAGGTTCTAATTCAGAGTTCTATTTTTATATAGAAGCTCTGGCAGCGCAGTGGTTAAGAACTTGGCTGCTAACCAAAAGGTCAGCAGTTCAGATCCACCAATTGCTCTCTGGAAATCCTATGGGGCAGTTCTACTCTGTCCTATAGGATCACTGAATCAGAATGGACTCGACAGCAACTGGTTTGGTTTTGTTTTGGTTTATTTTTATATAAGATCTAGCCACCCCCCATTTGTGTATTCAGTCTCTCAGACCTCAATCTCTTCAGATACTAGAGATTCACTGGGTGAACAAATCAGAGGAATGGAAGGAAAAGCGAAAAGCTTTTTTTAAAAAAATATCTTTGATATCATTGTTTTTTATACTTTGGAAATCTAAATAAAGTGGTAACAGCCAGTAGGGTAAAGCAAAATCCCTAATTTCCTTTTCTGCCATGTTTTCCATAGGTATTTTATAATCAGAACAAAACAATTATCTGTGATACGAATGTCTGTGTATCATATTTTGAATACTAGCTGTATTCAGGCATTGTGCTAAACACTTTACAAGCTGTGACCTCATGAAGTTAATAAAATTTTTAGCTTCACTTTCCTTTTTGGGGATAATACTTACCTCGTAACATTATTGTGAAATAAATGAGACAGTGTACGTAACATTCTTATCAGTGTCTCATACTTATGTTTTGTGGAAGCAAAAACATTTTGCATACGAGATAAACCAAAATAGCAGGCTCATCGGTCTTATTCTGGTTCTCAAAATAATTAAAGCCCTTAGTATTTCCTGTAAGTTGATGAAATTCCTTACAAAAATAACTTTACACCTGACATTTATAATGCTCATGTCTGAAGATGTACAATGACGTTTGTGGACATTATAATCAGGCAAGACAACTGCTATTTTCCACCACAATCAGACTAATGTAAACTTGATAACCTTGGTAATTGTATGCAATTTTCTCCCTTAAATGACTTCTTATTTGGAATTGTTTATATATACGAGTAAGCCTTTCTAAAGCCTGATTCTCTTACAAACTCTTTTAGCAAGTAAACATTTCTTGTTCCAAAATGCCTGCACCTCAGATTCACCCATATGAATCATTACTATTCACCACCCCATTTTCCAGATGAGGAAATTGAGGCTTACAGAGGTGGAGGCACTTCCACAAGTCACAGAACTCATAAATAGCAGATAGAAGATTTTCAGGAGTGTTTCAGGCTCCAAGCTCGTTGTATGAGGCGACACAGACTCCCTTGCACTCTGGCTTCTTCTTGGGTTCAGCTAATGGGGATCTTCAGCAACCTGGCAGATGGGGAGGAGGGAGGCTACTATACTGATTCCAGCTCCCTGACTGCGGTTGCTCTATACTGGATGCAAGCCTCTGTTCAAGATCACAGCTCATTTCAGGGAGGTCTGTCCATATGCCTCTTTTTCTCCTTCTGGGATCCTGTAACTGTTCTTCCCTTACTCCAACAAGCCCAGGGATGGGAACAATCTCACTCTTACTAGCATTATTCTGCATTAATTCATGGGCTTTCCTACCACCTTGACCACATCTTTGTAATAGTTCATTAAACTTTTCTTAAATTATTCTAATTACAGTATGCCATTTTTCCCCCTAGACCGTAACTGATAAAAGAACTAGGAAAAAACTTCTCTCTCATGGTACAGTCTTTGTAAGGATTTTGACTCAACAGTGCACTTGGCTAGCATTCAGTCAATTCTACCAGTGGCATTTTGATTTCTTTTAAGATGAAAAACAGACACACTTGTGTTTAAGATGAAAAACAAATACAAATACCTCTTGACAAATTCTGAGATAACCTAACCGAACAGTATCTCTTTGGAGGGTCTCATGTTCCCCCTTCAGGAAGTCCTTGATGGTCACTTCAAGTTAGGGTGACCAACACTGCCAGTTTGCCGGGAACTGAAGAATTTCCCAGGCTGCGCGACTATTGGCGCTAAAACTGGGCAAGTTCCAGGCAGACCCAGATAAATTGGTCACTCTTTAGCACACTTGTCATTTTCTCAGGTGATGGTTTAGCCACACGAGGGCAGAGAGAGAAGCTTTAGATAGCAAAATACAAAAGCTATACTGACTGAACACAATACGGGGTGGAAGGAGAAATGATTCCTGTGATTGTAACATATTTATACAGAATTTCTACTCCAAGTAGTAAGCAGACTATGAGTAGAATTCCAAAACCAAATTAAAAAATACTGCATAACTGGAATGAGTATATTTCTTCCAAAAAGGACAACAAGATCCGTATAAGTATTAGAGTTCTGTTCATTCAAAAAGTCTCATTCATTTAGGATTCAAACATGCAGGTCTCCTCTGTTGCAAAAATTAAAACAATCAAAACCACTGCTGTATTATGGCTGCTTTTAATTATTTTTATATGTGATCTTATGTTTGAGATTAAAAATGTGACTTTATAAATTAAGGCACAATCCATTTTTGTCTGTTTCTGAATGTTGCTTTATTTAAAAAGTATTAAAATATTTTAAGTTAGTAATATTATACAACTGGGTTAATAAAAACGTAGTTAGATATGCACAGATTCATGTATTTTATAAAGATAATTATAACCTGCATATTTCCAGGTGCAGACGGAGATCATTTTGCTGATACACCTCAGGAGACAGACACACACACACAAACTGTTTTAGACAACTAAGTCAATACTGATGCATAAATTAATCATATAGAAATTTTTACCATACGAAAACACTCCCTCATATCCACTCTTCACAAAATACAAGTCTTTCACAGGTTACTGCATATTATATTCCTGAATAATATAACCCTCACATGAAGGTACTGGTGCTATCAAATATTTTTGGTGAAATAATGCATGAGACTAAGGTGACAGAAATCAGGCACAGTATTTCATGATACCCGTTACCTGCTGCCATCGAGTTGATTCCGACTCAGTAACCCTACAGGACAGAGTAGAACTGCTGACCTCTTGGTTAGCAGCTGAATGCTTAACCACTGGCACCACCAGGGCTCGATTTCATGATAATTTATATTAAATTAAAAAGCTTCCCTGGTTATTTAATACGGTGATAGTTAAAAAATATAACCTGAATAGATGACTGTTACTTATAATTAAAAATCTGTAATTTTTCTAGAAAAAGCTTGGCAGTAGGTCTGGAACTTGTGTCTATTATGCTGTAAGTTTAACAGTCACGTGTTTTCACAAATTCACATATTAAAGACTTCTTTCCTGAGCATGTGTTCTCCAGTGTGCAGTGAGCTGTCCATTCTGGGAAAAGGATTTTCCACATTGATTACATTGGTATGGCTTCTCTCCTGTGTGGGTTCTCACATGAAGCCTTAGGCATGAGCTGGCAGTGAACGCTTTGCCACATTCAGTACACTGATAGGGCTTTTCCCCAGTATGACGTCTCTGATGTACAGTAAGTTCCCTATTATAGAAGAATGCTTTCCCACACTCTGTACATTCATAGGGTTTCTCTCCAGTGTGGTATCTCTCATGTTTAATAAGGAATGACTGATAGGTAAAGGATTTCCCACATTCATTGCACACAAAGGGCTTCTCACCACTATGAATTTTTATGTGATGATTAAGGGATGAATGATCCCTGTAGGCTTTCTCACATTTATTACATTTATAGGGCTTCTCTCCACTATGAATTCTCTTATGCACAGTGAGTTGTACCTTCTGGAGAAAACCTTTTCCACATTCATTACATTTGTAGCATTTCTCATCCGAATGAGTTCTAGCATGTAGAAATAGATATGAACTGGTAGTGAATCTTTTCCCACATTTATCACATTCATAGGGTTTCTCACCTGTATGAGTTCTCACATGTTGCACAAAGACTGAGATTGAAGTAAAAGCTTTCCCACATTCATTACATTCATAAGGTTTTTCTCCTGTATGGATTCTCTGATGGACAATGAGGTGTGATTTCTCAAAGTAGGATTTCCCACAATCCAAGCATTCATAGGGTTTCTCTCCAGTATGAAATTTATGATGTCTAATGAGGGAGGACTGATAGCTGAAGTTTTTTCCACACTGGTTACACTCATAAGGTTTTTCTCCAGTATGAGCTCTCTTGTGTGCAATAAGGTATGTACTCTGAGAAAAGGTTTTCCCACACTGCTTACATTCATAAGGCTTCTCGCCTGTATGAGTTTTATGATGTCTAATGAGATATGACTTCTGGCTGAACGTTTTTCCACATTGACTACAGTCATAGGACTTATCACTATTGTAAGCTTCCTCTTCTTGAGTAAAGAATGAGTTAGCATGGAATTTTTCCTCATATCCATTACTTTCAGAGGGTTTGTTCTCACTCTGAATTCCATGATGCACAGTGATGTTTGATTTCTGAATGAAGGCTTTCACACAATGATTACATTCACAGGTTTTTACTCCAGTATTAGATGTAATATGGCAGAATGACTCTGCATCTCCATCACAGTTCGATGATTTCTTTATTGCACAGTGTTTCTCATGAACAACTAAGTCAGAATTATCCTTCAAATTTTTTCCTAATGAGTCACAGTTATGAGGTTTATTGCTTGAGGAAATAAGTTCAGAGCTTAAACCAAATTGCTTTCCAATACATTTCTTGTGTATTACCTTAGTCTGTGTTTTCCTATATGTGGATGCCACTTGTGTAGAAAAACTCACGTGGTTTTCCTGTTGCCAATCTATCAGGTCATCACCTTTCCAGAATTTTTCTAAAATAGGATATAATAAACCAGTCTTTGTCAATCTTTCCACTTTATGTCAGAAATACACATCTTTAAAAATGCCTTGTTAGTTAACAATCTATTCTGCAGTATTACAGTCTCAAATGAAAATATTCCCCCTCCTCGGGCTTCTAGAAGGAAACTGCAATAGAGAAAGTGGGAGCAAGAAACTCATTTATGGATCTAAGTAACTGTTATGGATTGAATTGTGTCCCCCAAAAATACATATTGTAAATCCTAACCTCTATGTCTGTGGTTATAATCCCATTTGGGAATGAGTTGTCTTTGTTATGCTAATGAGGCAAGATTAGTGTAGGGTGTGTCTTTAATCAGTCTGAGATATAAAACAGATTAAATAAGCAAGCGAGTACGCAGAGACGGGAGATGAGAGATGCCAAGCCACATGAAGACTGCCCAGGAACAGAAGCTCAAAGAGACCAGGACCTTACTTCAGAGCCGAAAGAGAGAGAAAGTCTTCCCCGAGGGCCAGTGCCCTGAATTGGGACTTCTAGTCTTCTAAACTGTGAGAAAATAAATTTCTGTTTGTTAAAGCCACCCATTTATAGTTTTTCTGTTATAGTAGCACTAGATAACTAAGACAGTAACTTTCAGTATTTTAAAATAGTATCTTGCAATTGGTGGAGAAGATGAAAAGGAGAAAAGAACACAGGACAAAGCCGATTAAAGGGTGAACACAGAGAATGGGAAGGGCACACCAAGAGGGATGGATAAGCGGTAGGTTAGTCAGAGGAATAAGCACACAGTTAAGACAGCTGTTCTCATCAGGGGCATTTTTACTCCACAGAGGCCACCTGGCAAGATCTGGAGACTATTCTGGTTATCACAAATTGGGGATGGGAGTTGCTATTGGCATCGACTAAGTAGAAGCCAACAACGTTGCTAAACATCCGAAATTTCATAGTACGACTCCCCCAACAAAAAATGTCTGGCCCCTCAACAGTGTCAAGGTTGAAAAACCCTGGGTTAAAGGGAAATAAGAAGTAGAACAGAGTCTAGGGTCCTAAAGTACCATATGAGTATGTTAAAAACCCATTTCTTGATTTCTTCCCCTCTAACCCAGCGGGCACACCAGAAGCTAATTTATTTTTCTAAACTCCAATTTCCCGTATGTCTGTCAGATCTGTTTTGTAGCCTGGGCCCTCTAAACCCAATCCAAACCACAACTGGGACATATCTACAACCAATGATTCAACTTTTTCATCTTGTTCTGTTCCTTTTCACATAGACTTACAGACACATACCAGATGCACAAAGCAAAACTGGGATCAGAGGGGTCAACCATCTTTTTTCCAGTATCTGGTTTATTATGGTGCTTTGACTGATAGACCATTATCTTATTCAATAACTGTTTGGGGACACAGAACCTTACCTGTTCTTTGAATCTCAGATTTAGTATTCCTTCCACTGTTACCTTGCTTCTGATCATGGGCACTATTCTCTTCTATAACTTGCCCTTTGTCAACAATGCTCAATTTCTTGATCTCTACTTTCCCTCAACTGGGGACATTAAGGATAAGACCCCAGACCCTGTAACTAAAACTTTACCAGCATTTCCTTTTACAAGTGTTTCTACTAACCCTGTATAATATAAAAAAAAATTTCATTTTTAAGTGCTGAAATTTTAAATATTCAATGTAGATAGCTACGTCAAATCTAAATTACAATCTTAACTATTTAAGACATTTAAGATCCTGTTATGTCCTCTTAATTACCTCTGCTGGTCATAAATACGCTTGAGAAATGAGTGTAGACACTGGGATCCCTCTCAGTGGCCTCCACACTGATAAATAAATCATTTCATACAAGCCAATTACAAACTCAGAACAGTCAAGAATAACTCACAGAATTAAAATTAAGGGAGAGAAATAATTCTCCCACATTAACAGGGGGAATAAGAAAATATAATAGGTTTTGAGTTTTAATTACATAGGAATGATATGGGATGGGTTTTCATGGATGGGACAAAGTAATAAGGCATGAATTAATCAAAGACAAATTCAGCAAAGAATTTCACATGTATGAAACTTCATAAGGAAAATTGTAGATATGGTGCCATTTGGGGATGAGAAGGGAGAAATCATTCTGGAAAGGCAGAACAGGGCCTTGTTATGAAGGTTAATGAAAGAAAAGGACTATAAGGACTTACAACAGGGAGTACTTTTGAGTTTTGTATTGTCAGGAAGTTCTCAATAAATGGCATGGCTTAGAATGGTGGTTTCTAAACTGTGCTACTAAGCTTTTGACCCCAGCAATGCTGAAGACAGTGCCTTGGCAGTTACCACTGGGCACTGCCCAAAGAAGGAGTCCACAAAGCTTTAGGGCTCCCAACCAGGTTTCAACTAGGGCAACTCCACCTTTATCTGCAAGGTAGCAGAGTAGAGGGACTGGAACCAAACCGCTGAGGTTTAAATCCCAGTGCCTCTACATACTTACTAGCTCAGTGACTCTGGGCATGTTACTTATCCTCTATGTCTCAGTTTCCTCATCTGTAAAGTAGACATACAACACTATCTATCGCATAGTGTTTTGTAAAGTTAAAATGAGTTAGTACACATAAAGCAATGGAAACTCCAGCTTGCCCACAGTGAACATTCTGAGTATGGTTAGCCCCCATAAAATCTGTTGCCATCGAGTCGATTCTGACTCATAGCCACCCTAGAGGACAGAGTAGAATTGCCTAGGCTGTAAATTTTTATGGAAGCAGACTGCCACAATTTTCTCCTGTGGAGTCACTGATAGGTTCAAACCGCCAACCTTTTGGTAGCAGCCAAGTGCTTAACCACTGCGCTACCAAGCCTCCTATACAGTTAGCCCAGTGTTGCATATTCCTAAATGAGGCAATGCCAGGTAAGACTTCATATGGAAAAGATGTCTCAGGCCTAAAAAACAGTTTGAAACTACATTAAGAGAGAGATCTAGAAGGGGTGTCTGAGATAAACTGTCAGAAAGACAGGGCTCAGTAAGCACAAGATTTATACCAATCCGGATATCAGGGTATATATGATCAGCCTTGGGCAACATCACTGGACACTGAGGACACGGAGAATATAAGAAATTTTAGCATGGAAACAAACTGAAGTAAACATGGGGAGAAAGGACAAATGGAAAACTTAGATGAGAATCAAGATGATTCTGTGGTTGCCAGGCTTAGGCAACCCAGAAGTGGAGGAGGAAATCATAAGAGTGAGCGCTGTTTTCTGGAAGGTTAAGTGAGGCAGGGGGGCCATTCTATAACCAGAGAAAAGACGGGACTGGATTTCACATACGTCAGTAAGATAAGGGAAGAAAAGTGAGAGCAAATGCCACATAATAACAGCCTAAGCTGTCAAAATGATTGTTTTCATCTGTTCATTCACTTAACAAATATATGAGCATCTACTATGTACCAGGAACTACACACAGGGAATAAATAATTAGGAGAAAATTCAAATTAAGGTCTATGTCCTTTTGGAGGTAGAAATTGAGTTGGTGAGGCATACATGATGAAATAACCATGCAAATATGGATACAAATAATGAAGGAAAGGTTCTCACCCAGATTGGTGGTCCAGGAAGGCTTCCCTGAGGAAGTGCTATTTGTGAAGAGATGGAAGAATAAGCATTCGTGGGTCAAGTGGGTGGTGGAAAGGCCCTGTGGCAGGTGGAAGAGGAAGTAAAAAGAAAAGTGGTGCAAGATAAAAGGTAGTGAGTTAGGCATGTTGCTGACCAGGTTAGGCTATATGTGCCATGTTAAAGAGTTTAGTTTTTATCCCAAGAGCTAAGGGGAGTCGTGGAACAATTTTAAGGAAAGATGGGGGATGTGGAATCCATGTTCAAATCTGGTTTTACTGTGGAGAATGGATTGAGGGGAAATGAGGATAAAAGGAGACCCATTTAGAAAGTTAAGGCCGAATTTGAGGTACTAGATGACAGTAGCATGGTTTACGGAGGAAGTAGCAAATTAGAGGAGTGGACAGATTTGCAAGGCATTTAAGAGGTACAAATGACACAATTCTACATCTAATTGTACATGTGGGATGAGGAGAGTGAGGGAACAAGGAAGAGTGGAGGGCTTCTGGCTTGGGTAATGACACACTGCCATTTACTGAAAAAGAGAAAACTAAAAGTGGAACAACACCTGTGAATGGTGGGGAGAATATTATCTTATTTAGGTAAGGGGGATTCCAAAGTATCTTTGAAACATCCCACTGGGTATGGCAAAAAGGCAATCGAGTTTGAAACTTCAAGGAGAGGTCGAGACAGGAAGGTAACTGAAGATAAGGTTGCAGATTAGGCCCAGGGAGACCAGAGAGTCAGAAATAAAAAGGACCTGGGACAAAGTCTACAGAAATTTCAAAACTGAGTGGGTGGCTAGAGGTGGCTGAGCCAGTGAATTAAAACAAACAAAAACAGAGAGGAAGGAGAAAACAAAGAAAGAGGTTACAGAAGCCAAGAAAAGATAGTATTTCAAGGACAGAATGGTTAACACAGTTAAGTTCTGCTGATGGCCTAGGAAGACAAAGACAAGATTATATTGTGAAAAGAGTTGCTGCTGATCTTGGCAAGAGCAGCTTTAAGCGTGGCACATCGCAGCAAGGAGGTTCACAGGGCAAAGCAGAGGTTTGGGAGGTGAAGGCGACACACCAAAGAAGAGGTGGAAACACTATACAGAAAGAAAAACAGCCCCAAGCGGCTCCTTGGTTAACAGCAGAGAAGGAAGGGAAAACCAAAGAAGTGAAGGTTGGAGAAGCCCACGGAGACGTAGGTAAGATCATGGTGGTGACATCTGCTACTCAAGTGGAAGTGAGAGGCCATCTCAAGAAGGGTGAGGGCAACAAAAGCACATGCACAAGGAAAGCAGCTGGTAAGCAGGGATGTCAAAAGCTGAGAGACTAGATGGGGAGGAGAGCAGCGACTACTTAAGTGAGATTCCGGGGATCAACAAGAGGCAAAGTAAGACAGGAATTCCTTGAAAGTGTACATGTGAGGCCTTATATCTGAAAGGAGGGACATGGAAGGAATTAGAAAGAGCAAGACTGGCAAATAGATGTTGAAAGGTAGAACACAGCTACAAAAGCTTGAACACATAAGAGAGGAAAGGACAGTGATGAAGACACCTGGGAAAGGGAGACTAATGAAGAAACAGTCACCAATGATGTAGGCAGGGCTGGGAGACAGCATACAGGAAAGAGGTGCATTTCGTCCTTCAGACCTCAAAAAGCTGGAGACAGAAGTCAGGAAGAATGACATCTGAAGGTGTCGTTCTTGTATTTGGCACTCTTATTGAGTCACGTTTGGCGTTTTTCAGAGGTCTGGGCCTTTGGAACTACTTTTCTAAAGCACCAACCCCTCATATGAAAACTGTGATCTTACTTCCACTGTCTCTCGGCTGCCAGTTTCTAAGAACTCACCTCGACAACTCCTCCTTGGTGGTGCTCCCTCCTCTGTCCAGGGCTCCTCACCTTGTTCCAACTTAAAGATCACATCTGGCTTGGTGTACTGACACCCTGTTCATGGGAAATGACAGTTTTGGTGAAATGTGCTTTGCTAAACTCTTTAAAATTTATGGTCTCGTTAATACTAGGAGATAGATTTCCAAAGACATGTGAAACAGAGTAGTTAGGAATTTGCTTAAAATCACCTGGCAGGTAAGAGCTAGGTTAGGAAGACAGCCCAGATGAAGCAAACTCCTGGGCCCACACTCCTGACCACAACTCAACACTGGTACAAAGGAGGCAAAACAGGCTGTCCATTTATAATTTACTTGAGACCACTCAATTGTGAGCCATGAAACATACCTATCAGCAAAAAAAGATCAAAAATCTTTAACCCTCAAAACTCAAGGACAACACCATTAAGCATCCTAAGGGTGTCCCAGCTTTGGACACGTGAGACAGGAAAGGCCTCAAGTGGGCTGGGCTCTGAGTCCAAGGGGAGCTGCCCTTACCCACAGACAGCAGGTTCCCGTAGGTCTCCAGCATCACGTCTCTGTAGAGGACCCTCTGAGTTGGGGCCAGCTGCTCCCACTCCCTCCGAGTGAATCTCACAGCCACATCCATAAACGTGACTGAGGCCTACAACAACATAGCCTTCAGTCTCAAGTTATCCACTTTTAATTGTGTAGAAATTAATTATTATAAACCTGAATTCTACAATTCTCTCTTAGTTGAAATTACAGTTGAAGCCAGACACCATAAGTTCCAATAGCAGGAACAATTATTGTTGTTATTAGGTGCTGTCAAGTTGATTTCAAGTCATAGCGATCCCACACGGCAGAGCAGAGCTGCCCCATGAGGTTTTCTACGCTGTAATCTTTAGAGGAGCAGATCGCCAGGTCCTTCTCCCAAGGAGCTCCTGAGTGGGTTCAAACTGCCAGCCTTACGGTTAGCAGCTGAGTGCTTAACCGTTGCATCGTGGGACTCCTTCAGGAACAATTAGAGGATGAGAAATTGTTGACAAATACACAGCACTGATCTGGCTATTACATCTTTAGAGATAATAGCAAAAATGGAGAATATGTGCAAGTCTGACCACTTGAAGCCACTGAAAAAATATATATTAGACAGAGGATAGGTGTTCCTTAGCAGATTTATTCTGTACCATGTCATCATTAAATTAAATCCTGGTTAGTTTGTTTGTAAGAAATTCCACTCTAGCTTAGTGGGTTTTTTTGTCTTTGTTTTCTGCTACAATGGTTTACAGGCATACAATCCTTCAACTCAAGCTATGACTCTTGCTTTTTGTTGTGAAAAGCTATTTCCTTATTTTTTCTTAAACAAACTTGAACTTACTCAACATTCTGGTAACATTTAAATCATTTACTATGACTGCTCTGATCTTACAATTATCCAAACTAGCTGTATAAAAAGGAGCCCTGCTGGTGCAAAGTTAAGCCCTTGGCTGCTAACCTAAAGGTTAGTGGTTTGAACCCAACCAGCAGCTCCACAAGAGGAAGACCTGGTAATCTGCTCCCATAAAGATTACAGCCTAGAAAGCACTATGGGGCAGTTCTACTCAGTCACATGGAGTCAATATGAGTTGGAATCAATTTGACAGCACCTAACAACAGCCGTATAAAACTCATGTAAATTGTCTTAGAAGTCAACATGATACATCATATATAAAACAAAAAACCAAACTCATTGCTGTCGAGTTGATTTCAACTCATAACGACCCTACAGGACAGAGAACTGCCCCACAGGGTTTCCAAGGAGTGGACGGGGGATTTGAACTTCCAATCATTTGGTTACCAGTCCATCTCTTAATCACTGCACCACCAGGGCTCCACACATAGTGCTACTTATATACTTAACTATGTGAATGAACCAAAAATTATAATAGAAATACCCTGCTGTGCAGTCACACACTAAAATGCATATATATCCAGTGTCTACTATGGACCAAAAAGGTAGAATGAACAGAACTGTGCAGACGCCAGATGTGGGGAGGGTGAAAAGAAAAAGGAGATATGGCTGCAAGGTGTCTGGCTTGGGCAACTAGGCAGAAGGTAGTGGGATTCAAAGATGTTTTCCAGGTACCTCAAATATGTCTAAAGCTAAACACATCCCTTAGCCCTTTCCACCTTCCCTCCTCAAACCCAAGCATTATGGGAATTTTCTAGAGATAAAACAGAATGTTATGCAGCCAGTAAAAAGAACAAGTGTGCTTTATCTCACTCAACCTCAAGGATGGCCAAGATGTATTGTTAAATGAAAAAAAAGTAAAAACAAATGGTGACTAGGAAAACAAAGATCCACCCTCTGAGAAGCAATATAGTAAAATGGTTAAAGTCATGGATTCCAGAGTCAGAATACCTGGACTCCCATTCCTGTTCCCACACTTACCAACCCTGCAACTTTGGGCAAATTTCTTAACCTTTCTGTGCCTTAGTTTCCTAATCTGTAAAACTAGAATAGCGGTACCTACCCACATAGAGTTGTGATGGTTAAGAGCTGATATATATAAAGCACTCAGAATAATGGCTGATTCATAGTGATACTATATGCTTGCTTGCTCTTTTGATTATTATAAGGAGCTCAGATGGTGTAACAGTTAAGCGCTCAGCTGCTAACTGAAGGGGTGGCAGTTCAAACTCACCCAGCGGCTCTGTGGGAGAAGAGACCTGGTGATCTGCTCATGTAAAGATTACAGCCTAGAAAACCCTATGGGGCAGTTTTACTCTGTCACATGGGGTCACTATGAGTCGGAATCGACTCAGTGGCACCACCACCACCAACATGATTATTATGGGAGCATCTGCACAACCATGGACATGGCCACATGCATACAGGCTCAATGTGCATGAATATAGGGAGGGTGTAGAAGTATGAGCAGAGGGTAATGGCCATGAGAAACATTCAGCCTGGATACATGGATTTGGAGGTCCTCTGTAGACCACCACCACCAAAATGCTTTGAGAGGGAATTAAGTCATAGGTGAGAAAATCAATGGCCAGAGATGGATCCTGGAAAGCAAAAATGTTTAAGAGATGGATGGAAGACACAGAGCCTATGCAAACGAAGTGCAGGAAACCACAGGAGCCAGGAGAGGACTTCTAAGTCAGAGAAGTGAACAGCAGTACACAGGCCCAACAAGTGGGTGAAGGGCAAAAGGGACCCTTCTGAGAATTGCCCAAGTCCAGTAACAGTGGTGGAAGACATTCTGGTCATCTGTGGAGTGAAAGGGACACGGAGGACGTGGAGACAGAAACCTTACACAACATATTCATGAGGTGTATCTGTGAGAGAAAGAAGAGAGAGAAAGAAAGGGCAGAGCTTGATGGGCAGGCAGGGTGGAAAGAGGCTGTGTTGAGACTGGAGGACTGAAAACAGCTATAGATTATGTGGAGTCGATCAAAAAGGAGACGTTGAAGACCAAACAATGGGGGTGTAAAAGAAGTCCTAGACAAGTTGGGAGGAAAAGTGGTCAATAAAAGAGGGAAAGGGGCATGCTGGAAGATGACAGACCCCTTCTCCTCTGAGGTTCTAACAAGGCCCACAGAGCTTTGGTATTCTACATACAAACCTTCCCTGGAGAACACAACTCCAAACAATCAGCAGACTACCCTCAGTTATATACCCCTTTCTGAGAAATACTTGTAGAGCTCTTTGTAGAAGACTTTAGGCCTTCCAATCCTCCAGATAATTGAGGATTTCTATTCCAGTATCAACCCAAACCACCAGAGAGCCATGTCTTTGGACTATACCACTTTGTCTGTTTTCTCAGTCATTTTTTTGGCTTTGTGGTGAGGATCTAAAATTGCCATGTAAAATCTGATGTGGAATTACTTACCTTTCTGCTGTTTCATCTAGATGAGGCCCTACTTAAAATATTCATTTGTTATTTTATCTTTCTTTGGTTTATACCCAATCTCCAACAACTTACTCCATGAGACACTGTCCTGGCCACCAGGATCTCTACATGAACTCACTTGACATAGTCAGTTTTCCTGGAAACTCACATTCTAGCTGGAGAGACAACCAAACAAATTTTAAGAGATCAGTACTATGAAAAAAACAGAACAGTGTTCTCGCCAGCAATCCAGAGAAAAATTTAGATAAAGTAATGTGAACAGGCTTCTCTGAGGAAAGACACCTAAGCTGAGACTTAACTGATGAGAAGGGGAACAGCTATGGGAGGATCTGGGGGAACAGCAGTCCCAGCAGAGGGAACAGAGTGCAAAAGCCCTGAGGTGGGAATGAGCCTGGTCTGTTCAAAGAACAAGGCCAGTGTGGCTAGAGCGTAGCAAGCTAGACAAAACGGTAAGCGATGAAGTCAGAGGCAGGCAGCTATTCAGTGGCAAGGCTGGGCAGGGAGGCTGTGTTTATTATCCAGGTGATAGAAAATCAGTAGAAAGAGAAGAGTTTAATCTATTTCTAAAATATGACTTGGACTGTTGTGTGGAGAGTGAATTGTTGCAGGCTAGAAGGTATGCATCAGGGTTGTATCCTTTTACCATACTTATTCAGTCTGTATGCTGAGCAAATAATCCCAGAAGCTAGGCTATATGAAGAAGAACACAGCATCAGGATTGGTGGAAGATTCATTAACAGCCTGCGATATGCAGATGACACAACACTGCTTGCTGAAGGCCAACAGGACTTGAAGCACTTACTAATGAAGATCAAAGACTACTGCCTCCAGTATGGATTATATTTCAATATAAAAAAAACAAAATCCTCACAACTGGACCAATAAGCAACATCATGATAAACAGAGAAAAGATTGAAGTTGTAAAGGATTTCGTTTTACCTGGATCCACAATCACCGCCCATGGAAGCAGCAACCAGGAAATCAAACGACATATTGCATTGGGCAAATGTGCTGCAAAAGACCCCTTTAAAATGTTAAAAAGCAAAGATGTCACTCTGAGGACTAAGGGTGCGCCTGACCCAAGCCATGATATTTTCAACTGCCTCATATGCATGCGAAAGCTGGACAATGAATAAGGAAGACCAAAGAAGAATTGATGACTTTGAATTGTAGTGCTGGCAAAGAATATTGAATATACCATGAACTGCCAGAAGAATGAACAAGTCTGTCTTGGAAGAAATACAACCAGACTGCTCCTTGGAAGCGAGGATGGCGAGACTTCGTCTCACGTAGTTTGGAGGGACAAGCTCCTGGTGAAGGACATCATGTTTGGTAAAGTAGAGAGTAAAAAAGAGGAAGACCCTTGATGAGATGGACTGACACAGTGGCTGCAACAATGGGCTCAAGCATAACAATTGTGAGGATGGTGCAGAACCAGCAGTGCTTTGTTCTGGTGTACGCAGGACTGCTATGAATTGAAACCGGCTCGATGGCACCTAACAACAACGAGAATGCTGGGACAATGGCTAAGTGCTCAGCTGCTAACCAAAAGATTGCTGGTTCAAACCCACGCAGTGGCTCTGTGAGAGGAAGACCTGGCAATCTGCTCCCCTCAAGATTACAGCCTAGAAAACCCTGTGGGGCAGTTTTCCTCTGTCACATGGGGTCGCTATTGAGTCAAAATAGACTCAACACCGCCTAACAACAACAAAATAAAAACATGAGAAATGTTTGGGAGGCTGCTGCAGTGGTCAAGACAAAAGGTGGAGCAGGCTTGGGCCAGGCAGCTAGCAGTGAAGATGGGGAGAAGCAGACACATTCGTGAAGTTCAGGGGAAAGAACCAACAGGGCCTGCTGAGTGACTGATGTGAGGGAAAGGGATATTCAAAGATGACTCCTTGATGTTATTCCTTAAAATGAGGAAGACTGTGGGGAGGAACAAGCTGGAATGCAGAACATCAGACCTATATGTCAGGATAGCTCCACAGGCTCCGAGGACTTGGGACTCAGTTTTTTAATACACAGCGCAAATCTCACACTGGACTATTTCCCATTTGCTTTGGCATTCAACATTCCAACCAAATTGGTACGTTCACTTTAATTAAATGGACAAGATAATGTAATCTGTGTATCAACATTACATGGCACCACAGCCAACATACCTCAATCTCTCCATTATTTTCCTGTATCATGACTCTTACTGATTTACTTTTTCAATTTAGCTGTGGCTTCTCAAAAGTCATAAAAAATCCACTGAAGAATAAAGGAGAGTAACAAGAAATAAATCAAGTCTCACCTGGGACTTGGTCCTTTCAAGGTCTTCTTGGGAAAGGGCAAAGTCCAGAGAAAGCGGAGCTAGGGAAAATGAAGGAGCCGTAAGAAAGTAAACTTAAACCTGCCTACAACCAGCTGTTGTAAAAAACACCCCCACGCTGGCTGATGTGACTCCACCACGACAAACTAGCATTCAGATACCACCTGATAGAATCCATCACTACTGCACAGGTCCCGTGAAAAAATGCCTAACCTGAATCAGTCGATAAGGAAACATCAGACAATCCAATCTGAGACACATACACAAATGTGGCAAAATGTAACTAACTGGTGATTCTAGGGGGAAAAAGTAAACAGATTTTCATTTAACTATTGTTGAAACTTCGGGGAAGATATGCATTTTTCAAAATTAAAACTGGCCCTCAAAACCTTGAAAATATATGAAATAGAAAATATATTAGTGATTGTCATCACCATTACTGTTATTTTGCAAATACACAAAAAGCTTGGGCTCTTAAGTTAGACTTTATTTTTGGTTCAGTGATGGCGAAGAGCTCAAGAAATTTCCTTAGGCGTGGCTATTGCCACTGACCAGCCAACTTCCTCTTTCCTGTCTTGGCTTCTTTTTCCTGGGGATACAGTGCACACCCATCCCCTCCTTCCTTGAGTTATTCTTACCTGGCTCATCCAACATTTGAGCCAAACTCTTCATCGCTTCACAGTTGCTCATGTTCTCAGTGGGTAGAGACATACCACAGAAATCTTCCTTTGCTCGGGCACCAAGGTCAAGGTCGGATACAGGCCCAAAGGCCCTGAAGTGCTTCCTGCGGCGCCAGGCTCTGCTCTCAGGGTACAGGAGTCAGCTCTCCAGTCAGGAGGCTGCTCCGGGCGTCACAGGAGTCATGGCTTTTTCTGTGGACTGAGGAACAAATTCCTGTTTGCTGGAGACTTGAGAACTCAATGACTCACTAGGAAGAGGTCAAAGAAACAGCCAAAATGAGAGAAAGGAACAGAACCAGGTGTGGGGGCGAGCGCCCTCAGCAGCGCGGCCCTCGGAGGGCGACCATGAGGTGACCACGCGGTTCGGCGCCGCCCGGGGCCTGGCCCGACACTGAGACCCACCGGCTCGCGTGGGAAACGCCGCGCAAACGCCTTAGCGCCGCGGATTGGGGGGATGTCCCGGAAGTCCGTGCTCGCCACCAACCGCGGGATCCCGCTCCACTCACCGCAGAACCTTCTAGCCATCGAGCCCTGAGGGGTGAGAATCGGTCCCACCGTCCACACCTCGCCCCGACACACACCCCACCCAGACACAAGCCCTAAACGGACGTACGCCCCGCCCCCGGCGCAAGTCCCAAACGCCCTGACTCACCAACCGAGGCCAGAAAACGGACGGCCGCGGCGGCGAAGAGCGCGTGCGCAGACCGGACGCGCGGCCAACCCTCTCTGGGAGATGATAGTTTCCGTGGTGGTCCGTGCGCGCGCGCGCGCGGAGGAGAGGCGACCGAGGGAGCAAAGATCACGGCGGTGACATCCCCAGATTTCGGAAAATCTGAGTTGAAAGCTAGAAAACGGAATCTCGCTAACATAAAAAATAAGTACAAGTGAAAACAAAACAAAAACCGGAAAGATTTCTTTTTAATATCGAATTGGGCAATGCAGGTGGTATACACGAACTGTAGGAATGTCAGAAAATCTACAGCAGAAATTTAAAAATGGGTAATGACTTCTGATTCCTGTCGCCGAACGTGACCACTATTTTCATTTGTTGTACTCCCTTTCCCACGACTTAATCTACATTTTAATGTGTGTTGGTTCATCATAGGAGCCCTGGTGGCGCAGTTAACAGCTGGGCTGCTAACCAAAGGTTGGCGGTTCGAATACACTAGCTCCTCCTTGGAAACTCTATGGGGCAGTTCTAGTCTGTCCTATGGGGTCACTATGAGTCGGAATTGACTCGACAGTAACGTGTTTTTAGTTTGGTTTATTATGATTGGCTCATTTATTTGAAAGAATCTTAGACTTTATTTTGTTTCCCTTGCATGCATTTTAAGGGGTTTTTATATACATCGAAAATAAGATCATAATTATGTTGTTTGGTAAACATTTTTTAAAACTCATTCCATCTTGTTCTCTAGTTTTAAAAAATAAACTTTCTATCACTACCTTAACCAGCAACATAAATAAGCTGGAAAATTAAATAAAAAATAGATCCAATTCAGAAGAAAGCTGTAAAGATATAAAATACATAGAAATAAAAGGATTAGTTTAAATAATAAATTAGGGAAGCACACTTACAGGACATATGACAAATGGCAACGCAATGTCTACTCTACCCGTCTACCCGTTGTCATCCAGTGGATTCCAACTCAGCGACCCTATAGGGCAGAGTAGAACTGCTTCACGGGGTTTCCAAGGCTATAATATTTACATAGGAAACCCTGGTGGCGTAGTGGTTAAGAGCTACGACTGCTAACCAAAAAGATGGCAGTTCGTAATCCACGAGGCGCCCGTGGGAAACCTTATGTTCTACTCTGCCCCATGGGGTCGCAATCAGTCGGAATTCACACAAGGGCAACGGTTTTTTTAAAAAAATATATATATATATTTACAGAAACAGACTGCTGCATCTTTCTCCTGTGGGGTGTGGCTGGTGGGTTGGAGCCACTGGCCTTTCGGTTTGCAGCCGAGCACTTAACCACTTCGCCACCAGGGTTCCTTAACATAACGTACAAGTCATAAAGAAAAAGGGTAGCACTAAGAAGTAAGCCAAGAACCCGAAAAAATATTTAAGAAAGAAAAAATAAAATATGACCAATACATTTGGTTAAAGATGTTCACACCCCCAGTTCTAAAAGAAATTAAAAATAAAGCAAAGCGATACTATTGTTACCAGCTGTAAGATTTACAAAGATTAAAAGATTGATGATATACTGTGTGAGCGAGACAGAGAAAATATGAATAAAATGGAAGTGGCATACAACATTTTTTTCCTGAAATTAAATATGGAAAAATTTAAAACTAGAAAAATGAATCTGACAATACATCGAAATAAAATTACTGATCAGGGAGCTAGTGACTGATGAGTCCAGTTTGTGAAAATTAATCAGGCGCTACACCTACAATATCTGCACTTTTCTATAATAGTTTGATATAAAGTTAAAATATTGGCAAGGAGGCATTCTATGAACAATACAAAATAATCCTTGTATAAACTGTAATAATTATAGTTTATTATTTCAATGGGCCCTCAGGGACACAGAGTTAGATTAATCATAATCCTTAATTTATAATATATTCTCATCATTGTCCCATGCATTATTTTTATTTCTTTTTTTTATAATAGATATGTAATGATTGCCAGTGAATTTACCACCCAACTACCAAACTAGAACCTTACTAACGAATTATATCCAGTACCTCTCAGAGGTGACCAATATCCTAAGTTTTGTGTGTATTACTTCATTATTTTTGATAAGCAATAAATACTTAGAGTGAATACACTATACAATAAATATGTAATATCAATTAACTTTATTATACAAATTATATTTAATACCCAAGTAGGTGAACATAAAAATGTGTATCAAAAATACAAAAATCAATAAATACAAATAGCAGAAAATTATGCTGTAGGTTTCCAGACATACTTGGTTAAAAAAGTAGTGAAAAGTGTTTCATATATAGAAGTAAATAACATTAAGCTATTTATCATTGTTTTCAGTGAATAAAGTGTAAAAGTTCCCTGATAAGTTTGTTATTTTGCTGGTTAAAAAATATTCTTTTCACCCTGAGGGACTGAATTGCTGGCTGGAGGGCTGTTAGGACCATGGTCTCGGGGAACATCTAGCTCAATTGGCATAACACAGTTTATAAAGACAATGTTCTACATTCTACCTTGGTGAGTAGTGTCTGGGGTCTTAAAAGCCTGTGAGCAGCCATCTAAGATACTCCACTGGTCTCATCCCTTCGGGAGCAGGGGAGTATGAAGAGAGCAGGATACAAGAAAAAGATTAGTCCGAAGGACTAATGGACCACAGCTACCAAGGCCTCCACCAGACTGAATCCAGTACAGCTAGATGGTACCGGGCTACCACCACTGACTGCTCTGACCAGGATCACAACAGAGGGCTCTGGACAGAGCTGGAGAAGGATGTAGAACAAAATTCCATCTCACAAAAAAATGACCAGATTTACTGGCCTAAAGGAGACTAGAGAAACCCCGGGAGTATGGCCCCCAGACACACTTTTAGCTCAGTGGTGAAGTCATCTCCGAGGTTCACCGTTCAGCCTGGGAGTGGACAGCCCCGTAAAACCAAATGGGACTAATGAGGCACAGCAGTCCAGGGACAAGGGCCAGAAGGCAGAAGGGGACAAGGAAGCTGGAGATAGGGAACCCAAGGTTGAGTAAGATAGTGTTGATGTGTTGTGAGGTTGTTAACCATTGTCATAGGGCAACATGTGTACTGCTAAATGAGAAACTATTTTGTTCTGTAAGCCTTCATCTAAAGTGAGAATAGCAGCACAACTGTAAGAGCGTAGTCGATGTCACTGAACTGTGCATATAGAAATTTTTGAAATGGTGTATCTTTGGCTACGTATATTTTCACCAAAAAAAAAAGGTCGAGAAGGGAGGGGGTTGACATGTTGTGGGGTTGTTAACCAATGTCATAAAACAATATGTGTAATACTGTTTCATGAGAAACTATTTGTTCTGTTAGCCTTCACCTGAAGTACAATAAAAAAAAAAATTAAACAAAAAAAAAATTCTTTTCAGAAGATGTTTGATAGTTGATCAAATTTTATTTGTGAAAAGTCAAATGCATCAATACAAATTTTGTCTTACGTTAAGTGCTGTTAATAATATTTTCAAGTCATACAAACATGTATGTGTAATAAAATAAAACGTTCCATTTTACTCTAATCCTGGTGCTAATTGAAAACGGCAGTTTTTCAAAAGATAAGGGCGTGAAAATCAATTTTAAAAGAATACATGTGTATGTAATAAATATTGATTATAAAGATATTTAAATGCAATGGTACTCAAAAAGGCGTTTCCTGTGACGGTTTAAGTGGTGGTGGTGGTGGTTGTTGCCATTGAGTCGGCTCTGACTTAGGAAGACCTTATGTATAACAGAACAAAACGTTGTCCAGTTCTGTGCCATCTTCATGATCTTTGATATGTTTGAGCCCATTGTTTAGGCCATTATGTCAATCCCCCACACTGAGGGTTTTCCTCGTTTTCACTGACCTTCTACTTTACCAAACAGGAAGTCCTTTTCTAGTGATTGGTCTTTCCTGATGAGGTTCATGTGTAGGGGTTGGTATAATTTATTAAATTGCTATCAATTTGGGGAAAAGGAGCCCTATCTAGGTCTTTCTAGATTAAAAGGGTCCATGTTTCTAAGAAATGATGTAATTATTTAAGGTGGGACTTTAGAATCACCCAAATGACTCAATAAATGGGTGGTGGCAGCTGGAGCTGATAGTATAAAGCCCAGCCTCCAGGCTGATTACTCTCCTAAACATTGGAAACCAGGATTCTCTCCCAACAAGGACACTCTCTAAACAGTAAGTTACCCTCACACCTAACTAATTGAGGTTTCCTTGGTTTGGGGAGGATATTTGGGTTAAAAACCTAGTGGACTTGTCAGAAGTTGTGGGAATTCCATTCTTTAAACTTTTAAGAAGCTATACTAGGGTCAAGGAAAACCAGTTTCTATGATATGATGTTATGAAAATGTGTTATTTGTTGTGTGTTTGAGCTCTGGGAATTTCAGAAAGGTACAGGCATTTAAGAACTAACAAGATAAATTTTTTATTTTTGGAAGGTAGAGGGGAGGAGAGATTAATTAAGAGAGATGAAGAGAAGGAGAGGAAGATAGAAAATCACAAACAAAGAGACTATGGGAGGCATCAGAACGTTCAGAAATCTGTATCTGTCTGTCTTGTCTCTAGGAGCACTGGTGGCACAGTGGTTAAGTGGTCAGCAGGTACCTGAAAGGTTGGCGGTTCGAACCTACCAGCCAATCGGTGGGGGAAAGATGTGGCAGTCTGCTTATGAAAAGATTACAGCCTTGGAAGCCCTGTGGGGCAGTTCTACTCTGTCCTATAGGGTCGCTATGAGTCGGAATTGACTCAACGGCAACGGGTATCTACCTATTTACTCATAATGTTTATTTTTAGAATGTTTCCTCATAATTATTCGCAGCGTTTTTTTTAATATTCTATAATTTATCCTCTCTGA